GCTCCAACTGTTGTGGCCATTTGGGGAGAGAACCTGCAGAAAGAAGTTCTGTCTCTCCCTCCAATTCTGCAGTCAAGCCATTATGATAAAGAACATAGTGTACATATACGCACTGACAGAACAGTCCCAAGGACACACGGTTGAAATTTAAAACAAAAAAGGAAACTACACAATAGCACACAGAATAGAAACAGAAAGGAACTGGAGCACCACACACCGCAGCAGACTCAGCTCTCTCGTTTGCAGATCATATTAAGAAGACAATACTGGGGCCGGCACTGTGGCACAGTAGGCTAAGCCTCTGCAGTGGCAACAGCATCCCTTATGGGCAGCAGTTTGTGTCCTGGCTGCTCCTCTTCTGATCCAGCTCTCTGCTATGGCCTGGCAAAGCAGTAGAAGATGGCCCAAGTCCTTGGGCCCCTGCACCCATGTGGGAGGCCTGGAAGAAGCTCCTGGCTCCCAGCTTTGGATCAGCCGGCATTGAAACCATGTAGGGAGTCAAACAGCAGATGGAAGACTTTTCTGTCTCTCCTTCTCTGTCTATAACTCCACCTCTCAAGTAAATAAATAAATCCTAAAAAAAAAAATCACCGTAATCAAGTATTCCAAGATCTTTAAAAATACTATTTCTAAAAAGCTTCGCAGGATTATCACAATAGCCCTGTAAATACTTGGCTTATTGAAAAGACTTCCATTCAGCCATCTGTTTTGTCAGAACAGCCCTATTCTTTAAAACCAAGATTAAATTTAGAATGGCAGGTGCAAAAAAAATTTAAGATTTACAAGACTTTTGTGTAAAGTTAAAAATAATTCCAGTACCAATGCTTTTTCTTTATCTCAACCACAAAGGGATCTCTCCAGACATCACATACAACCTGAGCCATGTAACATTTCAGGCGACAGAACGCATACACAACAGGACAAACCACACAGCCTGGGCAAGCAGCTGGCTACCCTACCTGGGTTTGCGTAACTACAGTCACTTTCAGATCCTCACTCGTGGGCTGGCGCTGTGGCGTAGCAGGTAAAGCTGTCGCCTGCAGTGCCAGCATCCCATATGGGAGCTGGTTCGAGTCCCGGCTGCTCTACTTCAGACCCAGCTGTTTGCTCTGGCCTGGGATGGGCCCCTGCAACCATGTGGGAGACCCAGAGGAAGCTCCTGGCTCCTGCCTTCATGTTGGCATAGCTCTGGCAGTTGAGCCCACCTGGGGAGTGAACCAGCAGATGGAAGACCTCTCTCTCCCACTCCCTCCCTTCCCTCTCCCTCTCCCTTCCCCTGCCTCTCTTTCCATCTCCCTCTGCCTCCCCTTCTCTTTGTGTGTAACTATGACTTTGAAATAAATCTAAAAAAAAAAAAAAAAAAAAGTTCTTCACTCAATAGCACACATTCCAGAAGAGAATCCCATCATTACGTGACACACGACTGTGCATCACTACAAATGTTTGCTCAGAGCTTAACAATTCCTCTTGGCTGGAGGTCCCCGACTAAGAAATCTTGCTTTTAAATCTTTGTTTTGTTTGTTTTTGACAGGCAGAGTGGACAGTGAGAGAGAGAGAGAGAGGAAGAGGTCTTCCTTTGCCGTTGGTTCACCCTCCAATGGCCACCGCGGCCGGCACACCGCGCTGATCCGAAGGCAGGAGCCAGGTGCTTCTCCTGGTCTCCCAATGGGTGCAGGGCCCAAGCACTTGGGCCATCCTCCACTGCACTCCCGGGCCACAGCAGAGAGCTGGCCTGGAAGAGGGGCAACCGGGACAGAATCCGGCGCCCCGACCGGGACTAGAACCTGGTGTGGTGGCGCCGCAAGGTGGAGGATTAGCCTAGTGAGCCGTGGTGCCAGCCTGCTTTTAAATCTTTAAATATTGCTTTTCACTGTGCCTTATCCACTTGGAATTTCTTCCATGTCGGACAAAGAACCGAGATAATATTTTCTCTGCTGTTTCATCATAGCATTTTAGTGCCGTGACTCACATAACAACTCCAACACGTGGATCCTGCTCGATTTTGACTCCAGCCAGCATCGGATCATCCTGCCAGATGCGTACTGTCAGGATCCGAAGTGAGGTAGCCGGCGCTGTGGCCTGCAGTGCCGGCACCCCATATGGGCCCCACTTCAACTCTCAGCTGCTCCTCTTCCAATCCAGCTCTCTGCTATGGCCTGGGAAAGCAGTAGATAATGGCCCAAGTCCTTGGGCCCCTGCACCCACTGGTGAGACCCAGAAGAAGCTCCTGGCTTCAAATTGGCCCAGCTCTGGCTGCTGCAGCCATTTGGGGAGTGAATCATCAGATGCAAGACCTCTCTCCTCCTCTGTCTCTGCCTTCTAAATCAATAAATCTTCAAAAAAAATTCCTTATTGCACAGTACCCCACAAGAATATACACAGAGTCCATGTTAATCAGAAACTTGCAGGATGGGGCGGGCACTTGGAGTGCTGGTTAAGATGCCGCCTGTGCTGCCCATATCCCTTATAGGAGCGCCTGGTTCTAGTCCCAGCTCTGCTTCCCCTTCCAGCTTCCCGCTAAAGCACATCTGGGAGGCAGCTCTGTTGGCTCCAGAAGCTGGGTGCCCACCACCCACATGAGAGACCTGGACTGAGTTCCAAGCTTCTAGCTGTTGCAGACACATGGGGGGTCAATCAGTGGATCACAGATCTCTCTCTCTCTCTCTCTCTCTCTCTCTCTCTCAATCCCATTGCAACTCCTGCTTTTGTGTAGGAGGATGTATAAATAGTATTGCATACCTAGACAGCCCATTCCTTACCTACTTAGCAGTTGGAGAGCTTCACTTTCCACTTAGGTATCTGACTGCTAGTTAATGCGATCCTGACTGTCCGGCTAACAGTCTGCTGTTTCTAGGTATGGGGTTTTTTGTTTATTTTTCATTTGTCCAAGTTTTGATGTTCACACATCCATGACTCATAATCCATTTATGCATCTCAGCTACTTGTTGCTCTGATGAGCAATCACAACACCAGGGTGACAGGCAGGCAACAATGATTCCTGGGGCAGGACTCTGGATGCCCACTTCCACCACCAGAGTGCCGGTTCCCAGCTAGTGCTGTTCCACTCCAGACCCCCGCCAACACACATGGGAGGCAGTGGGTGGTGGTCCAAGCCCTGGAAATTGTGGGCATTTAGGGAATCAAACAGCAGATGGAAGATCTCACAGTCTTTCCCTCTCTGTCACTCTGCCTTTCAAATAAACAAAACTTTTTTTTTAAGTGCTAGTGCCCCTACTACCGACATGGGACCTCCAGAGGGAGCTCCCGGCTCCCAAGTTCAGCCTAGCACAGCCTAGCACAGCCTAGCACAGCCTAGCACAGCCTAATCTGTTGCAACCATTTGGGGAGTGAACCAGAAGACAGAAGAGATCTCTCTCTTCAAGTAGATGAAAGTTAAAAACATTTTAAAAATATTAACTCCTTACCTTTTTTAAGAAAAAAACAAAAAGATGTACTCATTTATTTAAAAGGCAAAGTTATGGAGAGGCAGAGGCAGACAGAAGTCTTCCATCCAGTGGTTCACTCCCCAGATGGCCTCAACAGCCCAAGTTGCGCCAATCCAGAGCCAGGAGCTTCTTCCAGGTCTTCCCATGCAGGTTAAGGCCCCTAGGACTTGGATCATCTTCCACTGCTTACCCAGGCCCTAAGCAGGGAGCTGGATCAGAAGTGGAGCAGCCGGAACTCGAACTGGCACCCATGTGGGATGCCGGCACTGCAGGCGGTGGCTTTACCCGCTATGCCACAGCGCAAGCCCCACTCTTTATTTTTAGTTCAATGTCCCAGATGAAATTGCACATTTTATCAGCACAAAGCTCACTGTCCTGTTTCTGTCAGACTGTCTGTGTACCTGCTACCTGCACACCTGGGAAGACCGCAGTGCAGGTCGAGACGAGGAAGGCCACGCTGAGCGACGCACGCTGGGCGTTCGCTTTCTGCTCTCCTTCCCTACGTGCAGCACCAACTAGGCTGCACACACAGGGTCCGGGGCTCAGGACTTCCCCTGCCTGACACTCAGAGCGGCACGTCCTGAGCCAAGCCCAGCTGCAGGCGGCCAGCCTGCTGCCTTCCCTGGGCCGGCGACAGGCCACAGCGGCTCCATCAGCCCCCGTCTCCCGTGTGCTCGGGGCTGGGCCGCGGTGCTGGGGAGGCTGGGGCATTTTCAGTTCAGAGGTCTGTTGAGCTGGGATCTCCTCCTCCTGAATCGTGTGTATGTGTCACTCACATAAAATCAGCTAAATAGACTTATTTTTAAAAATAGCTATCACTTTATGCCCATTAGCTTATAATCATTACAGGACTTACAATGTTCCAAAGCTTTCTCAATGTGCAACCTTCTAGGCTGTTAGCAAGCAGTCCATAAACACACACATACACACACACACACCCCACCAGTCCGTGAACATACTCACAAGCAAATTCCCAGTCTATACACACATTCTCATACATACAGTCTATACACACACATATACACACTCACAAACCCTCACACATATAGTCACACACAACCAGTCCATACACTGACAAGCACATTCACGCCTACACACACTCACACATGACTAGTCCATAAACACACACACAGTCCATAAACACACATTCACAACCAGTGTATACACACACACACACACACACACACACGGAACCACAGGAGTGCCCACAGAATTAACAGAAGTGCCACGTGGGACACAGGAGGGTGCGCTCCCAGATCACCTGGCTAGGAGCATCCCTCCGATCCATTTTCTCCACACTCCAACTCCAGAATGGAACTTGTGGCCCCAAAGGTATAGCCAGAGTCCCCCACAACGGGCACAGTAAGCCCCGACAACTGAGAACGCTACAGGGAAAAGGAGCCGGAGGCTGCAGGCAGAAACGGAGCAACAGCAGGGGGAGCTGAACGCTACGCCAAGAGGAAGGGCGCTTCGTGCCATCAGACACACTCCGTGTGTGGCCTACTTCTGCAAGGAAGTAATTCCACAGTAAAATCAAACTCTCCTCCTACTCACCGGCCTGGCGTACTGGGAATTCCACATGATCCGAGACGATGATCCGCAGTAAACTGGGAGCAAAATTGATAATCTTGTAGGACTGCAATCACAAGGAAAGGTGGACAAAGCAGGGCCGTTAGCGCCTCGCCATGAAAACGCGCACTCCTGAGCACCTCAAGTCCGAAAGAGGCCTCAGCGTGAACGCATGAATACAACATCGTGAACATTTAAGATTTGACACATAAGGGAACTTCAAAAAGTTCGCAGAAAAGGGAATTAAAAGACATACTTACTCTGCTATCAATTATATTCTGAAATCCATGCAAATGAAGGGATTTTCAAAAATTTCATGAAAATGTGTATCAGGAAGAAATTATACATGGACTTCAAATGTGGAAGAGACTATCTTTTAAAAATCTATTTTCACTTTACATGAAAGAAATAGAGAAACAGAGAGAGATCTCCGACCTGTGGGTTCACGCCCCAGATGCCTGCGACAGCCAGGGCTGGCCAGGAGACTGGAATTCAGCCAGAGTCTCCCAAGTGGGTGGCAGGGACCCAAGCCCTTGAGCCACCACCTGCTGCCTTCAGGGGTGCAACACAGGCAGGAAGCTGGGTGGGAAGCAAGGCAGCCAGCCCCCCAACCTGGTACTGCAAGAAGGGACCCCAAGGGGCAACCACACGGCTGTACCACGTGCCCTCCCGAAACTCATCTTTTACCTTCATTTTTCCACAAACTTGATGAAGTACCCTTCAGACTGCCAAAATCCTCTCCAGGAAGGGCATTCTGACTTCCTCACCCAACAGCGGTACCCGGGAATCCACCCTCCCAATGCGGGGGTCACCACTCCTCTGAAACCTTACACACTTACTGCTGTTTCAAATAACATTTCCTCGATTGCTAAGGAGGCTGCATTTTCCCATTTGTTTGCTGTTTGTTCTACAAATTCCTTACTCCACTCCATCCTTTTGTAAAGAGAACACTGGTTTCATTCTTAATAAAGTCTAAGATCTCTTTGTGAATTTCAAATCCCAACCTTTAATTTGATCTACACAAGTGTTTCTTTGCAGGTTTCTCTACCGCATCTTTGGCAGAGAGCACAATGTGGGTTAGGAAACAGGAGCTCCCGCGAGCTTGGTAACTCCTGAGCCAAGGGGCTCACAGGTGCTCACAGCCATCACCACCACCTGCCTGTGCTGCTGCAGCCTCCACTTAGCGGCACCTGAGCGTCCACCCAGCTGCCGCCCTGCCGCCCCGGCCGCTTCACCCCACAGCCCTGGCCTCCTCCCGTCTGCTCCTCAGTGTGGCCATGCAAACCCATGCGATGCCACAAAGTCCTCTGACCACGCTCTGTCCGGATGCCTGGAACCCAGCAGAGCCACATCCCGGGGGTCTGTTCAGCTTCCCTCCCTGGGAGCCTGGCTCTCTGCCGGCATCAATCCATACACAGCAGGGGTCTGCACACCAGGCACTTCTTGAATGTTAAGGTCACTGTCTGATTAAAAAGTTAATTAAGAGTAAACAGCCATCTTGAAAATACTGACGCTGTCCACCCAAGAGCACCGTGTGTTCCAAATCACCGTATTCTTCAATCAAGTCTCCTCTATCCGCTTTATTTAATGTAAATTCTCATTTGCACATCAATGAAAGCCCTTTAATGTAGTTTTTCAGAAAAACAATCTTCTCAAAGTTTACAGGAGGGAAAATTAACAGAAACTGAGCCCCATCTTCTCGGTCTTCTACATACACATTTCAAAAGGATGCAGGTTTCTAACACTTACAGCGGAGACTAAAACACCTCTCAGGCTCTCAGGTTTGTTCTGATCCTTAGAACGGACCTGTTACTCTTCAAACAGCTTACTGCGCAGAAACACAAAATAACCTTTACACGCACTCGCTACTTATTTCAAAGCGCTTCTGCCGCAACACTGTTGCCATTGCGCACGGGTTGCAACTCCGCTCCCTGGAACTGCTCGCCGCTTTAAAGGACTTTTCAACCTGCTGTTCTCGCAGCGTGGAGCTGCCAGGTGCCTGGAGCAAGAGCGGGCAGCGCAGGGGTCTGCAGCCGCGCGTTTCCCCAAGCCGCGCCCACCGGGCGCTGCCCCGGCCCGGCCCCGGCGGGCCCGACCCCGCACCCGCTCATCCCGCGGAGCCGGGCCACGCTGCAGGCGCCGGGTCCGCCCGGGTTCACTGATGACACCTCGGCCTGGGACTCCTGGAGCGCCCAGAAAAACGCGGCGGGCGTCCATCACGGCGCAGACCAGCTCGCAGAACCCCGGCGCCGGGCGGCCGACGCGGGCGGCGCAGGGGCCGGGCCGGGCGAGCTCGCCGCCCCGCAGGCTCCGCACCCGCGCCCGAGAGCGGGGTCCCCGGCACGTCCCGGCCGCGAGCTCGGCCTCGTCCTGCTCCGGCGCCGGCCCGGGACGCGCCGGACACGGCCGCGGTCGCGCACTCCGCCGGCCCGGGACGCGCCGGACACAGCCGCGGCCGCCGCCCTCCGCCGGCCCGGGACGCGCCGGACACAGCCGCGGCCGCCGCCGCACGCCCAGGGGGCGCCTGCCCTCCGCGGGGCCGCCGCCCGCCCCGGCTGCCCAGCGCGTCCCCGCGGCTTCGGGACCCGCACGGCCGGCCGGCCGTGTGGCCGAGCTCCGGCAGCCGCGAACCGGGAGCTTCGCCGGAGCCGGGGGTCCTCCCGCTCCCGATCGCCGGGGAGCCCCGCACCGTGGAGCCCCGCGCGCCCCCTGCGAAGCCGAGCAGCGCAGCGCACAGGTGCCCAACAGGTGCGCGAGCCGCTGCCCAGCCGGGCGCTGTCCCCGGGCCGGGCCGGCCGGCGGGCGGGCGAGACGAGGACGCCGAGCGCCCCGAGCCCGGCCCCGGCGGGGGTCGCCGCGGCCCGCGGCCCACCTGGTTGAGCTCGTTCTCGGCCGCGATCCGCAGCTTGGGGTCGATGGTGCCCTTCAGCGCCTGGATGATCCGGTTGAGGTCCATCTCCCGGGGTGGGGACTCCGCGGCCCCCGGGCCAGCCGCACAGGCTGCAGTTCGGGTTTCCTGCCCACCCCCTCGGCCTTCTCCTCGGCGTCCGCCGCGCTACCTCACTCCGCGCCCGCCGCCACCTGCAGCCACTTGCTGCGCCACTCTGACTCCGTGCCCCCTGGCCTCCCTTTTTCCCCCCCACAACTCGCACTCCATTCACCCTTTTACGACAACCGGTGGGAGGCGGGAGAAGTCAGTAGAGGAAGCGGCGCCTCCTTTACGGCAGTCTTTTCCTCCGGGCCGGAGGCAGCGACCGGCCCACGCAGGCGACCGCCATACTGCTGTACGGAAAATAGCGTCCCTCCTATTTGGGGCTAGGAGCGAGAGGTGGGATGGTGTTTCCAAGCCCCGAAAGGTGATCGCCATGCTGCTGTACGGAACACGGCGTAACCCCTCTTTCCGGGGTGTGTGGGCGACTAGGGTGCTCCCGAGCTCCGGCGAGGAGCCGCGATGCTGCTGTGGGGAAACAGCTTCCCGCTCCTGCTCAGGTAGAGACGGGGTACCCGAGCTCCGGCAGGTAGCCGCCATGCTACTGTACGGAGAGCGGCCTCGGGCTCGTGCCCTTGAGGAAACTGCGCTTCCGACTCCCGCACTCCGGCCGCCATGCTGTTTCACGAAGCACGTGGCGGCCGCCATGCTGCTGTACGGAACACGGCTTCCCGCCTCTTCCCAGGTGGGACAGCTTGAGCGGCCTGGGGTCTTTACAGCTGGCGGCCGGTTGAGCGATTGGGGCCAGGTGATTCTTTCTGTTCGTTCTAGAACTGAGTCTGTTCCAGGCCAACTGCTTGGGATCCGGGAGCAGCCAGTGAGAAGTGAACCTTAAATATGCATTTCTGAACCAGAGGACTAGGGTTCGTGGGCACCACTTTCTAACAAGATGTATGGAGTAATTCACCATCCGGGAGAAGAGAAAAATCATAACGGGGGTGGCGGGAGTTTATTTCCCGAGTGTGGAAACACAGAGGCGAGAGGAACGAAGTGCCTGGGAGTTTCTGAAAAATCCCCGGTCCTCCTCAGAAACGCGGTGGACGGGCCGAGCGCGTCCACACTCGGCGGCCCCGCTGCCCCCGTCCCCGTGTCAGCGGCAGGGAGGGCTGGGGCTCCCCCGAGCGCCGTGGGGAGCGACCTGTCCAGAAGCACACGGTCCGTGACCGGTGCAGTGACCGGGTGCAAGATGGGCAGGAGACACGCCCGCTCTTCAAACCCGGGCCGCCGGCCTGGGGAAGCTTCTGGAAGCCGGAGACTGCCCTCTGTGGTCCGAGACAGACCGCCAGCGGCCGGGGAGCCCGCGTGCCCGTCGCCGGCCCTGTTGCAGGAGCCCACTCTCAGGGCACCCCGCTCCCCTCTCCCGCCGGAACCCCGACTGCCGCCCCCTCCAGGCCCCAGGCCTCGGAGTCGCCCCCGCTGCACAGTGGACCCTTCGCACGCACAGTCCTGTTCCCGTCTGGGTCGGCATCACCGTGCGGGCCCCAGGCTGCCCCGGCCCTCAGGACCCAGGCCCCGGCCCCCTTCTTCCAGAGCCCTGGGGAGAGCCGAGGTCAGCCGACCAAGTCCCAGCCTCTCCATGTGGCCGCCGGTTCCAGCCCCAGATGCTTCGTGCGCGTGCACTGGGCAAGCAGCTTGGGCCCCTGCACCCACGTGGGAGCCCCAGAAGAAGCTCCTGGTCTGGCCTGGCCCAGCCCTGGCCCTGTGGCCATTTGGGGAGTGAACCAGCAAATGGAAGACCTCTCTCTCTCAGCCCCTCATGTCTCTGTAACTCTGCCTTTCAAATCTTTTTTTTTTTAATTCTTTTCCTACATCTTCAGCCTCTGTAGTGACTGACCCTCATCCGTAAACCACCTCCCCAGTTAAAGGCCGCTGTCTCCAGGAACGCTAATTACTGCGCTTTCTTTTCCACCCCTCATTCCAACGCGCAGCTCCACCTGTTCTCTTCCTTCCTTGCTGTCCGCGCCTCGTCCAGCTCCGCCGGGCTTCCGTCCTCACACCCGTTACACTGATCTCTTCCACACCAAGTGCACAAGACACTGTTGGTTCTCGTATCGTCCAGTCTGACACTGTACTGCATGCTCTTCTTTGTTGCTCAATACCTCTCAGTGTTTTAAAGATTATTTATTTGAAAAGTAGAGACAGAGAACTCTTCCATCCACTGGTTCTCTTTCCAAACAGCCACCACAGCCAGGGCTGGGCCAGGCTGAAGTCAGGAGCCAAGAGCTCCATCTGGGTCTCCCGCCCAGGGGACAGGACGAGGTACCCAAGCCATCTTCCACTGCCTTCCCAAGTGCATTAGCAGGAAGCTGGACCAGAAGCACAGCAGCTGAGGGCAGGTGCTGTGGCACAGTGGTTAAAGCCCTGGCCTGAAGTGCCAGCATCCCATATGGGCGCCGGTTCAAGTCCCAGCTGCTCCTCTTCCAATCCAGCTCTCTGCTATGGCCTGGGAAAGCAGTAGAAGATGGCCCAAGTTGTTGGGGACTCCCACATGGGAGACCTGGAAGAAGCTCCTGACTTAAGATCAGCTCAGTTTGGCCATTGTGATCATTTGGGACGTGAACCAGTGGATGGAAGACCTCTCTCTCTCTCTCTCTGGCTCTACCTTTTTCTATGTAACTCTTTGAAATCAATAAAATAAATCTAAAAAAAAAAGGGCCGGCGCCGCGGCTCACTAGGCTAATCCTCCGCCTGCAGCGCCAGCACCCAGGCTTCTAGTCCCGGTCGGGGCACCGAATTCTGTCCTGGTTGCGCCTCTTCCAGTCCAGCTCTCTGCTGTGGCCCAGGAGTGCAGTGGAGGATGGCCCAAGTGCTTGGGCCCTGCACCCGCATGGGAGACCAGGAGGAAGCACCTGGCTCCTGGCTTCAGATTGGCCATTTGGGGGGGTGGATCAATGGAAGGAAGACCTTTCTCTCTGCCTCTCTCTCTCTCTCTAACTCTGCCTGTCAAAAGATAAAAAATAAAAATAAATAAAAAGGCAGAGCAGCTGGGAGTCAACACAGGATGCCGGCATCGCCAACCGCAGCTTACTCCCCTGTGCGGGCCCCTTCCTCCTGGGCCTGGCTGACCACCTGGTCACCGCGCCCTGTGCCCCAGGGCTTCCCACACCTCCATTCTCAGACCCCCTTCCTCCCCCCGCATTCTGCCGCAGTTACTTCATCCGCTTACCTAACGCAGCAGACACAGCTCCCCTAGCTGGTTCTAACAGAGATCTCTTAAACTAGGTGTCTCCTAACGCCTGCTACCTTCCTCCCAGGCATACCTCCCCACCCACATCATTTAATGTCTGAAAACGAACTCTCTGGTCGCACTCGAGATGATGTGCAGTGGGGACAGTCATCATTGCAGTTGTTCCAATAATGGAAAGCAGAGGCGAAATTAAAAAAAAAAAAAATCACGACTAAGATCCAGAGAAAGCAGATCACTCACACTCTGGTGGTAGGACTGTGAAACGGTACAGCCACCCTGGAAAAGTTTGTCAGCTTCCTTAAAAAACTGAACCCACCACTCTTACACGGTCACTTAGCCCAGAGAAATGGGTACCTGGTTCTTCACCAACACGCACAGAGCGCGGGCACTGGTGCATGGGTTAAGACTGCCTGGGACGCCCGCACGCCAGGTCAGAGCGTGAGGGCTCCCGTCAGCTCTGCTTCCACTCCAGCTTCCTGCTGATGTGCACCCTGGGAGGCAGCAGTGATGGTTCAACGGTTAGGTGCCTGCCACCCAAGGGGGACACCGGGCCTCAATCAGCCTGCTCCAGCCCCAGCTGTTGCAGACATTTGCAGAGTGAACCAGCAGAGGGAGGCCCACACTCTGCATTAAAGAATGTTTTCTAGAAAACGTGCCCATGAGTTTTTTGTTTTTATTTTTGACAGGCAGAGTGGACAGTGAGAGAGAGAGACAGAGAGAAAGGTCTTCCTTTTGCCGTTGGTTCACCCTCCAATGGCCGCCGCGGCTGGCGCACTGCAGCCGGCGCACCGCACTGATCCAATGGCAGGAGCCAGGTGCTTCTCCTGGTCTCCCATGGGGTGCAGGGCCCAAGCACTTGGGCCATCCTCCACTGCACTCCCGGGCCACAGCAGAGAGCTGGCCTGGAAGAGGGGCAACCAGGACAGAATCTGGCGCCCCGACCGGGACTAGAACCTAGTGTGCCGGCACCGCAAGGCGGAGGATTAGCCTAGTGAGCTGCGGCGCCGGCTCCCATGAGTGTTTGTATCAGCTGTTTGTCAAAGCCCAAACTGCCAACAGTCCAGGTGTCCATCCGTGGGCAAACGGTTAAGTAACCTGCGTTGTGTACAATGCACGGAACACGAGTGAGCGTCAGAAAGAATGGCCACACGGGTACAGGAAACCAGTCCCAAGAGGTCCCATACAGACTGCACTTAGAAAACATCCTCAAAACTAAAAGAAATCACAGAAACACCCAGATCTGCAGTGGCTAAGGGTTAGAGTGGGGTTGTAGCCACGAGGCAGTGCATGTGGCCACGGAAGGGCAGCACAAGGATTCCGGGGGCGAGGGAAACGTTCACCCTCTTCACGGTGTCCACACCAGGTTCCTGGTTGTGATATGCTGCTGTAGCTTTGCAGCGACCATTGAAGGAAACTCGCTGGAGTCCATGGGACGTATCACGTCTTAGGACGACATGTGCATAGCTGGAGTCCATGGGACGTATCACGTCTTACAATGGCATGTGCATAGCTGGAGTCCATGGGACGTATCACGTCTTAGGACCACATGTGCATTGACAGTTACCACAAAAATTTAACATAGTGCAAGAGCCAATGCTGGGGCTGGTGTTGAAGCCACTGCCTGTGACGACAGCATCCCTGTAGGCGCCAGTTCACATCCCAGCTCTCTGCTGATGGCCTGGGAAAAGCCATGGAGGATGGCCCAGATGCTTTGGCCACCACACCCACCAGATGGATTTCCAGGCTCCTGGCTGGCCCAGCCCTAGCTGTTGCAACCATGTGTGGAATGAACCAGTGCATGGATTCCGTGTGCGTGCGTGTGTTTCTCCTTATCTCCATGTGGTTCTTTCAGCTTTAAGTAATTTTTTTAATTAAAGAAAAAGCCAGTGTCCCCAGGAAAACTTTACATGCCTTGGACACTCCAAGACTAGTTACTAAAAGCAACACTATCAACTGAGGGTTTCCAAG